ACACACGTGTGTGTGTGTGTATACAGTGCAACCACAGACAATACAGTTTAAATATTCACCCAGGTACCCAAATATTAGATATTAGTAAGCCTGAGCTCAAATATGATGTATGTTAATGTTCATTTGATTAATCACGAGGCAAGAACAGTAGGCAGTAATGTCCCACCTTAGATTATATTGCAAACGTTTTGCTGTTATTCAAAGCATGTGCAACTAATTGACTCAGTGAACCTGAGGGTCTAGGGTCATACTGTACTTGGTGATTCAGCCTCTCTAGTATTTTCCTAGTCTTTAGAAAATTGTGCCTTTCTGTTCTCCTTCTTTTACGTCTCCAACTTTTATCTTAGCTTTCCGTCACCTAAATCACATTTATATCTCATCATAAAACCTTCACTATAACCAATTATTATTAAATGTTATTACACTGTTACATCTCTACATCTATCATGAGTGCTCATCCTGCCAGGCAGAAGGTAAAAGTCAGCATTGGTGAAAAGAAAATTACTTTTTAGTGACAGCAGAATGAACGTACTGTAGGAGGACGGGCAGCACGGTTCTTTCTGAGGGCCCATAATAACAGACTCGTACAGCTCCGCTGTCACAAGGTCAGATACAGGAGATCATTCCTGTCCAATAACACTTCATAATAAATCACCTTCACACGACTATAACACTGTTACACTGTTTGTTTGTTGTTGGTTAAAAAAATCTTTGCACTATTGTTTAGTTAGTTAATTTAATATTATTCTATTTCATTGTTTATATTGAGTCATGATTTAATTATTTTCTTTTAAAATTCTTCCCTTTTTCTTAATTTATTTGGATGGGATGTGTCTATATAGACATAGCTGCTAAAAGTAAGAAGTAGAATTTAGATTTTTCACACTTTTACTGTAACTTCAAGCAATCGGCTAATTCATAAAATTGAAACAAAACTCAGACAATAGATGGCAGTAGTGGACCACGAATAATGTCCAATGTGTGAACCTGGAGCTGCTGTAAAAGTCCAACTGCAGTGCTATAAGCTAATAGTTTCTCCACATCACACCAACTTTGATTGACAACTGAGCATTCATTTCTTCATTATTTTTCCAAGCTAGCCCCGTTCAATTTGACGTTTTGCTCTCACAACCTGCTCCAGACACCTTTGACGACAGTTTTGGATGTTTTGAAGATATAAGCCACTAGAATAATTATCTCTTCAGTAGGCATTGGGTCATGGCTAATTATCCACGTGATAGACATTACAAATCTCGTGTTTTTTGTGGGTCAAGTACAGTAAATATTAACTCGTTCACAGTACACTCAATTAGTATTTATTAACTCTCTTGTTTTCATTCTCAACATTTTTTTCCTTAAATAACTACAGTGTTCATAGGTCCATTTCACAGCCACAAATATCAAAGATATTTACAGGTTTACATACAATATATACATATGCACAGGAGGCATGTACACAAGGCTTATGCGTGTCACACGTTTGGCTACAACCTCAAGAGTCACGAGGGATATTTAACGACAGATCCACAACGGGCAAAAACACTGGCAGAATAAAACGGGGAGATTTACAGAATGTACAATTATTACAGACACGGTGGGTGAAAAATGGCACCATGTTGTAGCGCTATGGGGAATCTCTTGAGAAAAACGGAAATCGGCAACCCAGTTGTCAGAAACATGTCAAAGATGTACAGTATTCACATATGACACAGCATGTACACATTCCTATATCAATAGATATGAACTGTGTCAATCCACACTTTAATGACAGGGACTGAGATGATCACAAAGGATCGTGGTTGTTCCTTCATTAAACACAAATACACAAAGAAAAAAAACATTCAAAACACACGTTCACTCCCCGATCTTCTTCTTTCACGATTATGCGCTTCCCTTTTTGAATGCATACAGAGCAAAGATTTGTAACATGCATTGAAAGGTGTGCAAGTGTTTTAAAATTAGACTCCAAACACATTTTCCTCATTTTTAATCTTCTAATTCAGTTGGAACCTCAGAGGCCTTAAATAGATTTAAATACTGCAAGAAGCACCATTTTCCAGCAGACATGAATTCAAAAAAAAACTAATAAATATATAAATTATGATATAACTCAATCAGCAACGACTGTCGTCACCGACAGTCGCTCAGTATTAAGGAAAATTAAAGCGTTTACAAAAAGAAAAGCTTTTCCCGTCTTCAGTCGCTGTCCTATAAATAAAGAATGCAAGAAATGTAATCGCAAGCTAACTGCTTTTACTGGTGTAGTGGTTTCAGTACTATGGTGGTTGAACTAAAGTTCTTAGGATGGTCAAACATCACATTATGACGGCTTCTTAAAAGAAAACAAACAGTCAGTTGGATAGGAATGAGATGCAAACAAACTGGCTGACTAGAAGGATTATTTGTAAGATTACAAAAACACATTTAAACACCGTGGTGTGCATTTTTGAACAGCAGCAACTGATTGACAAACGTATCCCTTTGTCAGTTCTGAATATTAAGGCGTTATCACTGTTCAAGTTTCTCACATCTCTATAAACTATAAAGTTGTCTTTGGCGCAGTGCTCACGGTCGTTAATGCTCCATGTGGTTATGTACGAGGATAGAAAATGTAGCACCAATAATGGCAGCACCGACAAAACATGCTCCCATCACATTTTATGGTTTTGTGCAATTTCAACTGAGGACAAGGCCAACCCCCCAAAAAATAGTTTGTTTCCACAGTGTTCAAAAGTAGTATGTTACACACGAAAAAAGCAGTGTGTCTGACGGAGCAAGAGAGGAGAATGAATTTCAAGCTGGGAAAATGTCAAATGTTTTTTGGAAAGGCCTCAGCGTGGCTGAACCGGCGATGACACTTTGAGTTACTCAAGTCTTGTAGACGTGGAACAGCAGCAGCGTGGTTAAACGAGGCAGTGTCTGTACGATCCAACAGGCCCAGGGTCAGTTGGTCCCAGCTAGTCGATCACCTCATTGGTCTGCGGGTCACCGACACATGCTAGATCATCAATGCCAGTTCTGTCGAGTCCGTTTCTGAATCTGCCTCGTTATCCCTGAAAATTAAGTCTTCAGTTGGACATTTCCTTCACTGACAAACACAAACACAACAAAGAGGCATTTCAATCCACAGTCCTACCTTTGTTCCTGTAGCAGTTTGCGGTTGCCTTGCCTCTTCTTCTCTGTGATCGGATACGAGTACAATATGATGAGGCCGATTAGGATGAGGGCTATGGGTGCGGCGGAGACCAGCACTTTCAAGGTTATATCCACTTCCTCTGGTTGAGAGCAGCCTCTGCTGATGTAGCCTGCAAAACTGAAAAAAGAAGAAACAATTAAAAAAACATTTTCATGCGTCGCAGAGCGTTAATATTGGTGATCCATGAAGACAAAATTCACACCAAATCACTGATCAAAGAGTCAGTCATGTGGTGTGCAGCACACACATAATCCACAGCCTTACTGTACAACACTAATAAGAGCAAAAGGAATTCCTTGCTTTGATGTAGGATTTGGGGGCTGGGGGCTTAGCCTCATTTGTTTTTGTGTCTCGGTGCATGAAATAACAACCTGATGAATCACCTACAAAACCGTTTAGAATGATTCACAATATAGGTTGTGCGTGTTTCAGCGACGACTTACTCTAAACTCAGAGTGGAGATGCCGAGGGAGACTCCAGAGGCGAACTTGGTGAAGAAGACGTAGAAGGAATAGAAGAGAGCTTCGTGGCCGGTGGAGTCGGGGTTCTGCACTTTGAAATCGTCAACGACGTCGGGCAGCATGGACCTGAAAAACATAAAAAGTTAGAGTCACAAAAGTATCTATTATCACTGTATTCCTGAGAAGAAAAAACATGGAGTCAGCAGGGATCTTACCAGGGCAGCAGGAAGGCTGCAGCCACTCCGACGCCAGCAGCAAAGGAGACGATGTAGGTGACGATCAGATTGCTCTTCATACACACCACCAGGATCATGAAGGGAATCACAGACTGGACAGGACAGAAATGCATTAGACCACTAAACACCAGATCAGCTGCCATTCAGAGACGAACACACACTAAAGCTGCTAGAACATCATTTAATTGCCGTCAATCCGACAGGCTTCGTACGACTCAGAAGTGCTGTTTGAACGGGATTGTGGGCCTTACCAAGCTGCCGGCGCAGACCGCCGTCTTTTTCCCAAAGCGAGTCAGGAACCACTGCCAGAAGGGGATGGCCAGAGTAGCGGACAGCTGAGCGGGGGGGGGGGGGAAGAAAAACATTTAAGGTCCGGTTAACAAGGTTTTGTTTCGACCCTCCAGAAAGAGGCCGTCTGGTACAGGTTAAACCAGAGAAGACCCTCTGGGCCACAGAAGAAAAACAGGGTATCTACCGCTCTTCCCAAAACAAAATTGAGCTCAATGTGATGCAAAACCTCCACAGGGGTCGTCCCATGACTCTACAGGGGTTAGCTTGGATCGGTTTGACCTCTGACCCCTCCTTGTTTGACTGAGGTAAAGATAACGGTGATACAACAGTATCCACCTTCTCTCACGGTAAGCTAAGAGATGAAACCGCCCACACGTCGCTGCAGTCCCGCTGCACAATCATGTGTGAGACAATGACATTGGCTCTGTGGCGTCCCACTATGAGGAAATGTTTCACAGCGGGTTTTTTGTTTGTTTTGTTGCAGCAGCAGTATTTGAACACTTGAACAGAGTCTGAACTTCATCTTCAAAGCCACTTTCTTGCACGTACAGCGACCTCTCCTCTGTGAGCCTCATCAGGCTTCTCCCCAGAAATCAAAACATAATTATCAGTTAATGTCTTCTCAAACCTTCCTCATTAAGCACGTTTTACACAACCGACCTCAGTGTATTGCTGCCAAATGAAAGTGTGTTCGGCCCCTTGAAAAATGAGTTCACTTGAGGCGCGGCAGCAAAGCTCTGGAACAATGTCCCATACAGCCTGCTTTCTGCAACGTGCCTCACATTATGAAAAAAAAAGTACATGCAAGGCTCTTTTTGTTTGTCACAATTATGGAACTTCCCGTTTCTCTCGCACAATGTTTCATAACATTTGACCACGTCAATGTCATCCAGTTTGAGTTACAAGTCCTTATATAATACCAGCTACATAGATTTGTTGAGTTTGAGTCCATCTTTGTACCAATAAGATCTGAGCCGAGCTTCCAGGGTTCATCTCACACCTCACCAAATTACTGAAGACGAGGATTAGGATCACTTACTGCTGATTAAGGAGCGGCTCCTGTCAAAGCCTCTTTTAAAAAAAAAAAAAAAAAAAAAAAAAAAAAAAAAAAAAAAAAAAAAAAAGTAATTTCACTAAATAAATGTACTTTAACAAAAAGGTCAGCGCCTTGCCTCCATAATCCTTTCCATAAAGCACAGGATCAAAGCAATGTAAGCTGCTCAAGCTCACTACGCGGAGCAGTTGTGATGTGCAGAAAGCACATCGATGGATTAATTGGGTTTAATACGTGATATGAGAAACCGTTTCTTCAGGAGAAGAGAGATAAAACAAGAGATCAGACGTGGCTCCACTACGGTCTGTGGGAATGGGATGGCATTCAGGCCGAGCAGTCACAGAGGACAATTGGCAGCCAGGACACTCCGCTTTCTGACCGAGTACAGACCGGCCTTGTGATTGAAGAAACTATTTATGTGTTCACCCTGGGAGGGAAGCTTTTGTCTGAAGCTAACCGCTTCTTAACAAACGGGGCTGCTCAAGGTTTCGTGCGCTGGGGGAAATGTGCGGCCATTGCTTTGGCAACAGGGCGCCTGAAAGTGCCACCTGTGGGTGTGTGTGTGTGTGTGTCTGCGTGTACTCACCATGATGACCAGCAGTATATTCTGGAAGTCGTTTCTGAAGCCCAGTGTCGAGCTGCAGAACAGGGCAAAGTTTCCCTCCAGGAGCTGTGGGACACAGCACAGAGATTTACTCGGTTAAATCCTACTGCCTAAACACCCACAAATAAACACACACACACACACACACACACACACACACACACACACACACACACCTTGGCCAACTTTGCAGGCGCCACATTAACTCTGTCCGGGAGCACAAACCAGCGCGTTAAGAAGAGCCAGTTGGACTTAGCAACCCAAAAACTAACAGTGTATTGACATACAGTAGGCTATATACACCTACTGAGGGGTCATAGTAAAATGGTGCACGTGTCTCTGTACGCACCATGAAACCGAGCGAGGTGAAGAGGAAGACCATGACCAGTTTGGCGTACGGTCCGTGTCCCATCACCAGCTTAATCCCCTGGAAGAAACCCATGGGCCCCGACCTGGGACGACAAGACTCTGGAGAGAGGAAAACAATAGGACAGAATGAGCAAAGCCACTAAATTACAATCAATAGAAAACATTTTCAACTCTTGTAGTTTGTCCCATCACTGGTCATGAAAGCCTCCCATTCAGAAACCTAACCTCTGATTCACTACTTTGAGTGAAAGACAAGATGAGGAAACTAAACGAGCGGACGGAGCCGGTTTGACAGAGAGATTAACGTTTTACCTTTTTTCTCTCTCACACCGAAGAAGAGAACAATAGCACAGAGGACATAGATAATGCAGATGACACCAGAGGCAATCATGTAGGCCACTTTCTGTAAAGAGGGAACAAGAAAAGAACCGGTTAGCAAACACCATTCTTGTAATCGGCCCTTAACCGTTAAACCTCTCATTAACGGCTCAGTCGGTTTACCGTGTCATCCAGGGAAATGACCGGCCCCGATGCATTGAGTCTGACCGACAGAGAGGAGTTGCTCAGGTCGATGTCGCCGGGTCCTGGGAGGCAGGGAGCGTTCGCCATACCCACGATCTGGCCCTGGATAGCTGTGCCCAGAACAGTGCCCATAACCTCCACCGTCATCCCTGATGGGAGGAAACACGGGGGACGTTTTAGGAATTGAGGAGGCGGCGAAATAATCAAAAAGTTGCATGTGCAGCTGTAATACTCACTGTATGCGGTGGCCGAGTCTCTCTCTTTCTGCTCTGAGCTGATGAACATGGTGAGGGCAGAGTATGGCACATGGAAGCACTGTTTTTGCAAAGAAAAAGAGCAACAAGGTGAGAAAAAATGACGAGCAGATTCCCTTTGTTGGTCGTGCAGAGAAGTAACGACGAGTAACGGTGCAACGTTTTGGGAAATCTGTCTCTTCACATTCGGCTGGAAAGTCACACTCCGAGACTCTGCAAACAAACGGTCAAACTATTCCTTAAAAGAATACTTTCAGATTTATTGTGCAATTAGAAGAATGTTCTGGCTATTTATATATTTTGGAAAGACTGCAACACTTTAGGTTACTTCATATTGACCACTAATAACCTTTCATTTCATAATAAAGAGTCTGTGAGGCGTAGGCTGGAGAGTGGTACTCACGGTTTGAAGGGTCTGGAAGATGCAGTAGAAGATAAGGTACCAGATGACTTTGCCGTCCTCAAAGGGAGGAACGAACCAGATGAGGAAATAGGCAATCACGGCCAGGGGGGTTGAGAGCACGATCCTTCATGGAGACGAGAGGAACAAGAGGAGACAACAACAATAACATCAGTGGATGAAAACGTGACCCTACAACAATCATCAGCCTTAATGAAGAGAGGGGACGTTATGTAACTAACTGTGGCCGTGCGAGTGTGGCCTTTATTCAATTTGTGCCAAATGTTCTCCTCAGCTCAGCACCGATTGGTGTTTAGAGACGGTGTTCCTGGCGTTCACCAGCATGGAACAGGTTGAGCTTGTGTCTAAACCGGGGTTATGAGAGTATGTAACACTCCCTGGTGTCCTTCTGTTACATTGAAATGGTTCAATGAGGCAAAGCTGTGTGTTCAAAGCTCCTCCTCACATGTCTAACATCCCATCAATTTGCAACATGAGGTCATTTTAAGGAAAAAGTTGCAGGAGTACAATTCCTTTGGTCACTTCCTTCCCCCTTATTTGCTTCTTCCTATGGTCAGATCAAAACCCTCCAATGAGATACGAGATAGTGAGAGAAGCTCCGCCTCTGGAAACAAGAGTTTGGGCATCCCGTCGCTCCTCCAGGATATCACTGGAACATCCGGCGATTCATCCTCATCGGACGGGAAATGAGATCACACATGCGTCACTGTCGCGCGCGCATATGTACGTACATACATACATACATACATACATACATACATACATACATATAAAAAGAAGACTTAACTTCTCGCCAGCTAATTTCCAATCAAAGTGCTTCGCTGCAGACTCGCCACTAATCACCCGAAGCCCGTTTAGAGCCACAGCGTGTACTCTGGGGAGAGTGATGTCAGAGGGAGCAGCGCTCAGCTGACTCTGTAGCCCATGTGATGTGATTAACTGTACACCCCAGTGAAGCCGCTGTGGGCATGTGCAGCAGTGGTCCGATACTTTATCTGGATATGACGATGCATATCAGGAATGCTTTTCTTTTAAAGCTTATTACCTCTGTGTCAAATGCCACGAACACACACCACGAGAGGCCCGATGGTGCTTGACTTGACTTACTCGGCTTCATTCAGACATGCTGCAACACGGATGAAACAAGCGGCGGTGTGAAAAGAACACCAAGACTGTGCCTCTGTTTTGTTTGTTATAAAATAGACTTTCACGTCCCATCCAGCGAAGGCTGTTCTCAACACCGTGTTACGAGGCTTAGCCAGGACTTGCACTGTGCTTGCCGGCAGAAGTGCAGCGACACCGTATGAGATCCTTCCTGGAATCGTATTCAAATGTCCTCTGAAATAGCCGCGATGACGAGAGAGAGAGAGGATTTTATCCCAGCAGGTGACAGCTTAGTCTGCTGCTTATTAACTGTTCTTAAATGGGCCGACAACAATAAATTAATGAATTACTTGGGTAGCAATCATCTGTCTGGGTGGGTGATTAGCTGTAATAAAAGTTGGAAACCAAGCTTTAAAAACCAAGTTTTTAATTCATGTTTTATGCATATACAAATAACTTCAGAATTCTGAGAAAGTTTAAATAATAAATCATGCTTTATGTGAAATTAATGTGGTAAAAACCCACAAAATCACTGGTAAGGGAAAACATCCCAATCTTTAGCAGAATTGAATATATTCATATTAAGGAAGACAGGCAGTCAGTATGAGTAGCAATGCAACCTCAAGATACCCGACAGCCAACGTCCAAAGTAATCCATTTATATGTTTTTATTTACAGCAGGAAACCTGCAGACTGTCACCAATAGTGCGACTCGCTCTGCTTCACAACTTGAACTGGAGTAAACTCCTGAAATTCCTCAGCCACTCTTTAAAAATCCTGCCGGGCCATTCGCAGCCGAGGCCTCATTGGCTCACGCATGTGGTGTGTTGTGGGCTGGACCAATGAGGGACCAGTCTGACTCATCTCTCCCCTCCCCCACTTCCTACACTACTACATGGTGCTTTTAAGATGTAGCAACCACTCCAGCAGCTTTCCTGTGGCCTCACCACCACACCCATCTCTTTTATATGACGACGGAGAGGACCGTGATGAAAGTGAACGTGCCAATCATTCCTCATACAAACCCTACCCATTCGGCTAGAAACCCTCCATCTGAACTTGCAGAACAAGAAGCCATTTCAACACATTGTTGCACACCTGCTAACAAAGAGTCATGTCATCACAAAAGAGGAACGGTTCCGACTCTTCTGGGAAACTGTTACCCAACGTTCGATGCTTCTTCCTTTTGTAATCTAAATGAAATCATGCAGGTGTTCTCAGGGGAACATTAACACAGGAGACCGAGGAGGGAGGCCTTCGTGACCGGGTTCATCTCCCAATTGTGCCCTTCGTTAAACAAGGGTGCACACATTTCAGAACCAACTAGGGAGATTATGTTTTTAATCGAGTAGGCAAGGGAGTACATAGGTGGAGTCCCACTCACCTCCCTGTGGCGCTCATTATGAAGCTGCCTACACTGACATTTACCTCGTCACCTGGTCCCACTATGGAGGTACTGCATGTTCAAACTTATCGTCTGTGTTGACAGGAGACTGGCAGCCCCTCCTCTGACCAGCAGCTACCACCGACACCCCCCACTGTACTTCATCTTATGCAACCGTGTGAATTATACCCGTCACATCGGCTCTGCAGTGTTTTAACAATCATTCACGAATAACTCGTATGAAACGAAGCCATCGCGTAGGCTGCTCAGGGATGCGGGGGAGGGGATGTGGCAGCTGAAAAAGAAAAAGGGTCGGGAACCTTTCTGTGAAAAATCCCTGCAGGCCTCCCACTCCCTCAGACTGGCTGCGACACACCGGCACATTTCCCAGGGGACATTTTAACGTTATTTTTGCTGTTTACAACGGTGATTTCACAGAAAGAAGTCAAAGTGTACTGGTCAAAAGACGGTTTGTGTGGCTGCTGTTAAGAGCAAACTCAGTAGCAGGCAGGAGTTATATTTGTCAAAGCCACACCAAAGGCCATGCTGTGGGAAACGTCTAAGACTAGCGCCTGCAGGGATCGAATGCATTTGTTTTGAAAGTCTTGAGTCTCAGCATTGTGGCCGCAGTGACCCAGCTTTAACTATTTCAACGAAAGCAGATTATTTTATAGTCTGTGTGTACAGCCGTGTGTGAGTGAGAGTGAGAGTGAGAGAGAGAGAGGGGTGAGAGAGTTTGAATGGACACATGTGTGAACAATGAGGAAGCAGCCGTCACTGGATCAGCATGACCCAAAGTAACCTCTCGGGAGATGACGCTGGTGATCTCCTCACAAAGCCCCGCCCCCAAACACTGACACATGTACAGTGTATGGTTTGGAAAACTTCCACCCGCAGCTGTGGCGCACACTGAGGCTGACAGCAACAGCCCCCCCCCCCCCCAGTAAATGTGGGAAAAGTGCTTCAGTGACACATAACTGGGCTTTATCAACAAGCTAATGGAAACAGCCTGAGAGAGACTCAAACACCACAGCTGGAGGAGGAGGGTGCACTGGAGAAAATAATCTGCTAAAAACCTAATAACGAATAACATCCAACCGTATCAGACTGTATAGCTCGCTGGTTGCGGCCGGGAGTTCCACTTACCAGGGCAGCATGCGTCCGAAACGCGTCCACGGGCTCCGGGAGACCAGGAAGCCCACCGTCGGGTCCGTTATGGCGTCCCATGCTCGGCCCCCAAACAAAATAATGGAGGCATAGAAGGGATCCAGCTGCAAAAAGGGGAGAATACACAAATATTAGCGCAACTGTGACATTTAAAAAAGGACACAAATCTCAATTTCAGTGGGGAATTTCTTGATGCTCAAATCTGCTTTTCAGGTAGCCATTCAAATATCACTGCAGGTGTTGTACGTGTATACGAGTACACCATCAACAATAGAATGACTAAATGTCAAACTATACATAGCATGTGGTGGTTAAACTGCTAAGCTGATGATGGAGGAGTCGGCAGTGACGCTTTACAACGTGACATTACAGTGAGTAGTGCTTTTCATTTTCCTTAGTCAGAAGGCACCACTTAGCATAGTGAAGGTGCCACCTGTCTGCTGTTCATTTAGCGTGGAGGAGACGAGCCTGAAGGTGGGATTGAAGGCTCGACTCCTCGACTGTACAATCAGCCCCACGCTGTGTCACCCATCACACTCTTAATCTACAATCTTGGTAGCCTGACAAAGCGAAACCCTGGGAAGTGGTTGACCCACCCGCTATCCATGAGATTAGTGTCAAAGCCCATTAAAGCGAGCTCCTTCCCCATCGCGCTACCGCCGCCCCTCCCCTGAAGCCCCTGTAAGCCTTCTGATACAGTGGAGCCACATCATGGAAGTCAATATAATGGAAACAACTTTTTCCACTTCTTCATTTTACTCCAGGATAATCGCTCCTTTGTTGGGGAGCTTTGGCGGTCACAATGTTCTGCATGTGCCCTTTGTGAGAGAGGTGGTGTGAGGGCACAGGAGGGGATCGTGTACAACTCGCTTGTTTTCAAGTCTGTAAATGCCACCACACATACTGTACGGCATCAGGTATCGGAAGGACAGTATGTTCCCTTTACCGGTGTGGTGGTCCTGTAAGGGCAGCGGGGGGGGGGGGGGGGGGGGGATATATTTAGGTCTGTGTTATGAAAGAGACACTAAATGTCTTGGACAGGTGTGATCATGGAGATTTGAAATAGCCTAAAAACCAACTCACCTGCGCTACGTCCAGCAGATAGATCTGCAGAAAGAATCCCAGGGCACACCCTGTGATCTGGTAGGGGGCTCCGCCGATGGCATAGCAGATCTTGTTGCAGACTGACAATCTGTTCCCATGTTCATGCTGGGGAAAAAGGGAAAAAACACAGTTAATCAAGTAATAAAAGCAGCTACATAAATGCTAAAAGTGGAGCCAGGATTGGGACATTTTAAGTGTAGATAATATAGCAGATCTCAGATCTGAATATCTGCTAAGAAGACAATGCCAAACAAATGGCTTGAGGCGTTTTACTCATTCAACATTAACCTACTTTTGGAGAAAGTGTCCTAAAGGCTAAGTATTTGCAGCTGCCTTACAAACCTTTCCAGGCTTTGGCAGAGCCAAGCCCTTGTAATTATAGGAGGGGTCAATTCTGCAGAGTCGGCATACAGCGCACAGTTTCATCCTCAGGTAACTTTCTGTCTGAACAAAATTGAATCTCTGATTATTCAGCGTTGCCCTTTTGCACACTAGTCCGATTAAAAGGTGTTTTTTCGGTGCCTCGTGAGGAATGTGGCCTGAATAGCTTAAATCGCTAGAGAGTCTCAAGCTGGCAAGAAGCTAATCATCATGTAGCGTGTTTGGCAAAAGTCAGGGACAGCCACCGGGGAAACAAGAAAACCCTTCCCAACAAGTGCTAAATTCTTCCTTGTTTTCTCCACTGTAGATGTAATAATTTCCTCAGCAGACAGACACTAAAACAACTCCTCCAGCAGCAACACAACTCTATCCAGGTTAGTGCCAGGGAATGACAACACAGACCAGAAAGCGAGGTCGAAAAGTACCTATGCCAACGAATTGGCTGCCAGTTTGACCAGAGCTCTGACTACTCCTGCCCACAGAGGGATGAAAACACACCCTCGCCGCTGACCAATCAGAAGGTAGCATTTGCTTGTTTTCAGCTGGTAAAAAGGCATTTTTCATTGCAGGTGGTGAGTGAGATATATACAAGATATAACCTTGAACGGCAGACACATTTTCAGTGTTCTTCTCACTGTGCATGAGAAACACCTCAACTGAGATCACAACCACAACACAAATCACTGTGGCTGCAAACTACTCAATGAACCAGCCTCTTGCCTTGTTGATACCCCCAACCCAGCCTCTGTTTGGGTGACAAAAAAAACATCCTGCTGCCATGTTGTGTATGAGTTCTTGTATCAATTATTGCCAATTATTCAAACCTACACAAAGGCTGCTATTACACCGGTTGGACCACCTGGTGATTTAGTACCTGCTGGGTCATGTAACTTGGGTGGAGGTTTGATTGACAGTGTACTAATGTTCCTTTGTATATGTACTAATGACCCCAGTTACAGTAGAGGGGATGCGTCTCTTAATGTCTTTTGCACACGAAAAACACAATCTGCCTCACACAGCTTATCTAATGAGGATGTCTCAACAAGCTACTACCTGCCATCAGTGCTACCAGTAAAGATGTTATCACTGAAGTAATTATGTTATCACTGCACACTTGCAAACCACAGTCAAGTGAACATCCTCAAACTTGTGGCTTTTTAGAGGAACAGTTTTTGATAAATGTTGCACGAGATGTTTAAAAAGTCTTGATTTTTAGATGTAGGATTCATCCTCAGCCTGCCTCCTCTGGGTCTGACACGTCGCCTTGTTAAGGTGATCCCTGCTGCATTCAAAGCTGTCGGAGATATGGATATCGCCCCCTTACAAATGCACTCAAAATACTAAATTATGTCGAGAAGTGTTTGGTGAAAATAGCTTAGATGCTGTTTTCATAACATGCAGATGCGTTTTGCTACTACACTGTTAAAGCCTTGTGTCACGTGACATCTGAAACAGAAAGACACATAACAATTCCAATTTCCACTTATATTCAAACACGTGTCCCTGAACGCAGCACTAAAACAAACTTAAATAAACTAATATGGAGGAAGTATCTTAGATATCTTCTATTGATACTCAACACCTACAGCGTTTCCTTTTGAGCGAGATTTCCAGTGTGACTGCAATTTTTTCACGAGATTCATTTTAATTAATTAGGAAGACCAATTATGTAAATGAGAAACTTCCAGTAGGCTAATTTTACGTTAGCCAACGTGCGCTAAAGTAAAACGAATTTTTTTTTAAAAAGGCAGCCGTTACGATAGAAGAGCCGTTAAGATAGAATAGCAACGTTAACGTTCGTATTTTAGGGATTTAAATGTAGCTCTATGTGGCTGTGGTTACATGTGCAGCTAAAACATCTCATTACAGCGTCTAGAAACTAAAATTATGACTTGGCTAACGGTAAATCTGCTATATTTAACCGTCAAAAGCTCCCGTTCAGCAATATGATATAAACGATTTCAAATATTCAGAGGAGGGGGGGGGGGGGGGGGGGG